CAGTAAAAGTGCTAAAAGGCAAGTCTAGAGGGTGAGAAAAGACATTCTAAAGGAATTATGAACCAAACCATTCATGTTTTAGAAAATATTTCCTTTTCCTTTGTGAAAAATATGTTATTTTTGTAAGAATCTTACTTGCTTGAACCAGTGTTTATGCAGGCTAAAATACTCACCAATATACTAACCAAACATTAACCTAGTATTTGTCTTAAGAACTAAAAAGCAACCTATTTGCTATTTAGTAAGTCTTAACTCTAGACAAAAAATTAACACATCTGAGAAGATTTTAAAAGATAAAATTGGGAAGATTTGGCAAGAAGCATCCTGTACTAAGTTGAATTTGAGGATGGGAAAGAAGCACTGGTCATTGGAACAAGACAACCAAAAAATTAAAAAAATAAATTTGAGATCCAAACCAAATAAAGTTGAAACAAGTACAATTTCAATCTCACTCATCCACTTGCGACTTAAAATAGTTACCGAGCAGCGTAGACCAGGTACTGCGCTTGCACACGTTACAACTGAGGATGTATGACATGTAACATGATGTAACAGCCCAGTGTGTTCAGTGTTACCTAGCGGATGTGCAGAGCTAAATGGGAGCCCCAAAGTAGGGCACCTGGCCCAGATGGAATGAAATAATGGGTAGAGATCTTTCTGGAAGAGGGTTCTGTTCTCTGAGACTTAAAGAAAAAGGGGAGATTGGACTGAGCGACCCTAATGGGAGGAAATAGTGTATGTGAAAAACCAGAGGCAACAAATAATGTGGCATTTCTGAGCAATTAAAAGCTGTTTCTCATGGCTTGAGAACCAATTATGGTGGGATGGGTGGGGTCAGCAAGGAGCCACTGATGAGAGCAGCAGGGGCCAGGCTTGCCAGCCTGTCGCTGGGTCAGGACTCTATCTTAAGGGCAATGAGGAAACAGAGAAAGGTTCTAACAAGGGGGTGGGATGAACAGGGATATGTTGTGGGAAGGTCACTTTGGCAGGACTGTGAGGAGATTGGAAGGAAAAAGGCTGGAGGTAATGGGACCATGTGGAGAGTGTTAAAGTCGCTCAGGAAATGGTAAACGGAGACCTGGCCTGCTTCAGAGAATCCTCGGGGTGTTATCCAAAGACCTGAAATCTCACATTTGACTCTTTTCCCCTCAAATGATAGGAACTCCCATGTATACCCACATGAATATAATTATCAGAGGTTCTTGGTATCAGCGCCGAAACACAAAGATAAATCTAAAAGTGTCTAATTCTGATTCCCTCCACAAGAACAGCACCTCTTGCGGATGGAGAGAAGAAAGACGCACTGTGTGCTTTTCTGTCTAATACTTAGGCTCAGAACTGTTATGAGAAAAGAACTGGCAGGAATTGGATTTTTCTCTGTGCCTGGTGATTTTCTGGGGCAATCTGAAGGCCCCGGAGCCACAGAGAGACCAGCGTAGACCTAGAAGCATTCCCTGTTCTGATCCCACTCAGCACAGCTTCATTAGGTTATTTTGGGTCAGAACTATTTCCAAACAAATGTAAACCACTGGACTTAATTCAATGTTAATACCATCAATACACATTAGCGGGAGTGGGAAACCCACAGGATCCCAGCAGCAAGGTAATGGCACCCTCTTCCCCTCTCTGGCCTGTCGCTTGGGTTGGCCAACGCATTCTCCATTCTGTGGGTGGCGAATCTGCTGGCTTCACAATCCAGCAGAAAGGCAGTGAACTTGGAGGGAGAAAGAGGAGCCCAGTCCCGGCTCTGCCGCTCCTTTGAAGGCAGTTGCCTCGTTTGGATATTGACTGGCTATGATTTCTCCAGACAAAGTAGCAGGACTGAATTTTCTTATATACTTTCTAGCGAAATGTCATGGCTTTATGAGTCAGATAGAACATCAGTCTCCCAGGCTGGGAAGGACAGAGAAATGAATACAGATACAGGATATCAGAATAAAGATTAAGAAAAAACCAGAGCTTATCAAATAGCCCCATCTCCTGCTTCCTAGACAGGGAGGTGTTCCTCCCCGAGGCCCAGGCGCCAGGAGCCCTGGGGAGGTGTGGGGAGGTGGAGGCTGCACTGGCCTCAGATCTCCTTCCCAGGCCATTCTGCGGTTCCCTGCAAAGATCAGACCAGGGCCTGACATTTGGCTTCTGCCAGCTTGGTGGCCTTTCCTCCTGACATGTCTTAGCCATGGGTCCAGCCTGTTTTCCTGGAGGGACTTGAGCAGCATCAAGGGTCTGCATGGGCTTCTAGTTTGTGTTTCAGTCACAAGCTTCCAAAAACAATTCCTCACCAATCCGAGAGACCTGCCCAAGGCTAGAGTGCCTGTCCTCCAAGTTTCCACGTTGATTATTTGATAGAGTCTCCCAACTTGAATTACAAATTTTTAAACTTTTCAAATGGGCAGAGTGAAAGAGCAGAGAGCACATCAAAGGGGCAACTATCCAACAGAGGGGGGCACCTGGATTTGCAACCTGTGGGGTGAGACCTCTCCTGAGAACCAGTGAGCACCCAGGCGTGGTGGGAAGTCACACAGGACTGAGGCGAAGGCCAGGAACAGGCTGAGAGCTCGAAGGCCGGGCAACGGGCTGGGGAAGCCCAAGGAGGGAACCAGATGCCAAATCTGGGGACAACTGAAAGACAATAGGGTGAATCTGGGTTTCTGCCCTCCTCCTGCGCTTGAAAATCCTTCGTCTGATTTCTATACGTGCAGTACAGGGTCAGAATGTCAGTTTTGTTTCTCCGCCTTTGGTCTTTTGGTGAGAAGGGGAGAGGGGAGAGGCCAATATGTGTACTTATGTGCTTTTCTTTTCTTTATTCGACCTGTTAGCATCAACAATGGTGATAAGGACAGTTGCACAAAATCACAAATTCTTAAGGAAAGAAAGATAAATGAAGGTCAGAAGACCTAGCTTCCAATCCCAATTTGTAATTACCCACCAGCTTGAATTTGTAAAGATTACTTGAAAGTCTCTGGACATGGGTTTACTTATCTATGCAAGAAGGATCTTGGAATTTGTCCTAACAAAATGAATGAATGATAGCTTTTCTTCTTATAAATATCACTTCACTGAGAAGTCTTAAGGTAGAAAGCAATTTTAATAAAGAATAAAATTATTGAAAGATACGTCAAAGTTGGAAAAAAGCAGATTTAAACAGTAAATTCACATTTGTATTTTTGTACTTCATGAGTTTTATAGTAAAGTATTCAGAATAAATTTGACTATGTATTTTTTCTTATGTTTATTTTTCTGGAAGCATCCATAATGGATCTGGTTAAAGGATCTCTGGTTTGCAACCTTTACTTTGAACAAAAATAGAAACAACACATTTTTTAAAAAAAATCTGTGGATTAAGGCTTTGATCCTGCAGATGGTGCTGTGATCCCATTTTCAATTTTGCTTTCTAACTTAAATTCATAGGAAAAGTCTATTGTAGTTACTTTTTGCTGATGCAAAATACTTCTTTTGATAAAAAATATCACTTTATGTCTTTTCAATTTCAGAATTTTCTGCTTCTCATTCAGCATCAGTTTTTCTGTGACTCTCAACCAGCTCACTTTCCTGTTGCTGCTCTTAAATAAAATTGCTTCCCTGAGAATGGGGTGACAAAGAGCTGAGGGTAAAAAATTCCATATGAGAATCATTTCAAACTCTTGTTTGTAATAATCAGGTAAAAAAATATTTCCTGGAATTAAGCCACAGGAACTCTGGCTTAAGTCAGAGCTGTCAATTGGGAAACAAATTTCCAGACATTTTGAAATTTAATTCATTTAATTTTTCTGGTAACTGGATTAGCAAGTATGATTAGCAAAGTAGGATATTCTTTTACTGAATCAGTCCAACTTTGAACAAAGCAGATACTAAAATCTTGTAGTACAAGAAAGAAAGGGGCTTAGAGTCATTTTCCCTCGAGGAACTTAAGAACAAAACTGGAAAAACATATGCACTGGAAATTTTAAAAATAAAGGGAAGGGTGTTCATGTGGCTGTATTTTTACCTTAGACTCTGGTTAAATGTATGCTAATCTATGTTGAATTAAAACCCCACGAAGAGAAACTGCAATGCCCTCTCCATGCTTTCCAGCTAGTGCTTTGCAAGCACCTGTCCAGTGACTGAGGGGGTGTTCAAAAGCTGGTGCGGTTGTGGGGGGTCCGGAAAGGGGAGAAACATGGTAATTCTGCGTAGTGTAAACATTTATAAAAATGACGAGGATAACTTTTGAAAATGAAGAAAAACTGAAGCCCTGGAGGTGGGCAGTCTGATCCCTTCGTTCTGAATCCGAGGTTGTGTGTGTGAAGCCCCGGGAAGGGCCTTACTCTACAGACACGCCGGACAGCAGGGCTGCTGCGACCTGTTACCACGGGGCGCGCTTTACACCAGCTCGGGGCCCTTCTGCAGCTTTCACAGTGGGGTCACCTGGACATAAAGGAATTGTAATCATTCCTTTTAAATTAGGATCGATATCAAGAAAGATTCCATGAATCAGGATCTACATGGATAGCATACAAATAAAATGAAGGCTTTAGAATTGGTGCTTTGTAATAAAAGAGAAGCATGCCTTTGTACGCATAGTGGACAGAAGTGTTTGTTGCTTTTTAAGTCTCTTCAGAAAATTATTATTTTCTGAAGGAACCTCAATGGCCGTGGCTATAACGTAAATTCATTTGCTTACGTCATCCCTGCTAATTAAAGATGAAAGCGTTTCACGTTAAACTTGGTAGCTGTTTTTGTTTAAAGTAAATTTCCTCTAGTTTATGTCTTGAAAAGACTCACTATATATTTCTATAAATCAGCAATAATGGCAATTAGACAAGGGCTCCCAGCCCTGCTCATCCCGCGGGAGAACGGCCGTGACGTCTTTCAGAGCCTGGTGAGTGCTCGGCCCCAAGCCCGAGCCCTATAAAGCGGCGGCTGCGAGCCGCGGGCCAGGCAGAGTCCAGCAGCCGCACGGAGCCGAGCGGCAGCTCCGGTCCGGCCCGCAGGCTCCCGCAGCGAGGCTCTCCAGGAGCACTCCCTGGCAGGGTAAGGGAAAACGGGAGCTTTCTTCCTTTGACCTTTCCCTTGGCAACTTTTCTCAGGGTACACTGAATTTTCTTCTCTCTGGAATTTTTTTTTTTTTTACAGTGTTCTTTCTTTATAACAACAAAAAGCCAAGTTTCTCAGTCACCGGGTAAGTATGGAAATGCCTCGGCTCCTCACATATGAATACATTTTCTCAGTGCTTCTGGTTGAAAGATGTCTTTCAGGCTTGCTGTTTTACTCAATGCTGTTGTTTAAAATAATGCATTCAAGTAGGGTTTTTGTTGGTTTGTTTTTGCTTGTGTATAAATTTTTGACGGAAGGGTTCCGTGGGTACACTTGTTTTGGAAGTTTTCAACTTGTTTTTTCAGTGCTGTTCTTTCTTCATATGTTAGTTATGTGAGTCTAGGAAGCACTTATTTCCCTCTTTAAGTTTAAATCCTGTGACTTTTATAGACAGCCAAGAGAACAGAGCTTGAAGTCCTAAGTTTCTATCTAGAAATTACACAGAAATAAAATGTGTAAGTGGACTAAATGTTAAAAAACACACAGTGTTTTTAATATATTTTTCTTTTGTGGCAAAATTATTTCAATGGTGATATGCAGTTTAATGATATTTTTTGGTATTAATTTTCACCATTAATTGTGTTAAGTTGTTCAAACTCAGGCTTAAAGAAGCACATTACCAGTAATATCTACCATTAAAAGAGAAAAAATATGTACATACAAAATAACTTTATACTATTATACATTTATATGTACATGTACATTATTAAATGAATACTAACCTAGTTTTATGTCAATCAGATGCTGAAACTTAAAGTAGAAAAAAACAATCATTATTTTGCAGTTGTTTCCTTAGTTAGAAAAGATACTAAAAAAATTGAATGTTACAACTTTTTCATAGAAGATGTTCCCCAGGGTTATTTCCAGCACTATAAGAGTAAGCCATTCAATATACACTTGGGCCAACTATGTGCCTGAGAAAGAAAGGCAGCAGATGAAAAATGTCCTAATTTTTATTCAAGCACCTGTCACCAAGGGAAATCCTCTTGATTTAAAGAGTAATATTATTGCAGTTTAACTGTTTCGATAAGATGATGACTGTCTCCAAACTCTGCACAAGCCTTCAGAATTTGCCAGACACCCAGGATGGCCTTGCTGGTGAGATCCGTGGATGGCAAATCTGATCCGGCTCTGTCTCTTCCCAGGTACAGAGATGGAAACCAGACGGAAGCCCCAGCTTCTCATGGTCCTGCTCCTTTTCAGTGTGCTCTCCTCACAAACACTGGCGTGGCCTCTTTTTGGAGCATCTTCTGCTCTGAGGTGAGTTCCCCTTCAATTCAGACACTTTAGCATTCCCTCTTCATCTAGATGGGAACTTCCTATCTGGCATTTTGGACAACTCAATTTTGAAAAACTTTGTATTATTTATTTAAATATTTGGTTGATGTGTTAAGCAAGTTTTTTTTCAACATCAGGTGCATATGATTATCCTGAGCCCCGCATTCACTCTCAGGGCATGAGAGACAGTGTCCATGCCTGGTTCACATTTCCAAACAAGGTGGAAGGAGAATTTGACTTTCCACCCATTCAAAACTGCTTTAGATAAGGAATGAGCTTTTATGCAGCGTCATCTCAGTTCAGATCAGTATCTGATGGGAAAACAGAAATTTAGTTGTTCTCTCATTTTAGTTCATTTTTAAGATCAGTCAGTAAATAATTACAAGTTTAGTAGTTGATTGTAATATATATATTACATATGTTGGAGAGATCTATCCATGCAAATTAATTTGCCAATATTAAAAATGTGGAATAATTCATCTACTGAGACACCCTTGTCCAACGAGTGAATTTTGATGTACGTGGTTTTGACCATAAATCCTTAGTTTTTACTGTTCTCTATGTGGTATTTTATATTTCAAATTCATAAATCATAATACAAGTCATTTAAAGCTTTATCTGAAATAAAATAAATTTACATGTAAAGAAGTACAGTAAATAAAAACTACATTGAACTTTCCTTCCAGTTTATAGGCACTATTATATCTAAGGTCAAAAACCATCCTTTTTTTCCTTATGTCCTGATTTCTAGTGCTTTGCTCAAGGTAAAGTTATGCTCAGTAGAGACAGGGGTAACTCCTGGTGTTCTTCACGCAGTCTGCTTAAAGCCAGGTCTATGCTGCTTTGATAACTAAACAGAATGATGCTGGCTGAATGGTTATATCACCAATAAAAGAACAATCACAAGAATGCTGAAGTTTGCATTGATTGCTAGGCTTCATACTCAAAGAGGACTGCTTGTTAGTGACTACCAACTACCACATCACCAAAAGATACACAAGTGCCCAGGAGCCAACATGTTCCTCGGAGGTTCACCCTAACAGGGAAAATACACATACATAGAATTTTAATAGTGCATGGGTGCTCAAAATGTGCATGGATTTATACATATAGTAATATTCCATGTACAGGCATGACTGACCTTTACCAAAACACATTAACACATAAGATTAGGAACCAGAGGGCCCACAACATTCAAGGAATCTGAGCAACTATTCAGAGATGTAGAAATTCTTTGGACTTACTCCCTAAGATTCTGAGTATCTTTTTAAAAACAATTGTGTAAACATAAGCACAACCTTCTGAGAAAAGAATGTATTATATTTCTATTGTACTTTTCCCTAATAGGTTGGGTGACAGAACACCCTATGGAGGAAATGAACCTGATCAAGAGTCATTAAAAGTAGACACTGACATCTTGCAAAATGCATTAGCTGAAAATGATGTATCCAGGTGAGTTCATTTTTATGGAGTAGTCTTTTAGAAAACATAATTTTGAAATACAAGTGTTTTATTTTTGTGTCTCCGTGAAGCTATCTCCGTGGCATAACACTAAGGTTTCCATGCGTCCCGGCTTCCTCCAGCCCGACTCACCGCCGCGTGACCTACTGCGTGACGTTCAGGTCGCGGCTGGAGCTTGTAACGAGCCAGGGTGAACTAATCATCACTTGCGTTCTGTTGCACAAAATGCCAGCATCAGAAATGGCACCAATTCTAGTAAAACTTTAGCATTTAGGATTTCAGGATATAGGAAGTTCTAAGGCAAAAGTTTCGTGTCTATGTAAAGAAAAGATGTCCACTAACAGAAGCTACAGTCACAGAGGCATTCGTCAAGAGCAGCGTTCAAGTATAGACAGATAGATCTCTACTGAAGCCCCAGTGTAAATGCTTCCTCATTTGGACAGAAAAGTTGGTGGATAGACCATAAAGAGCTCTCTATGTTAAGAGATTTTGTTACAGGTATTTTGGCAGAAGAAACAGCAAAAGGTATAATAGGGGTTTTGTTACAAATCAGGATTTTTTCTCCTCATACCTATTAAGGAAAAATAAAGCACCATAAATAAATAAATAGAAACTAATTTAAATGTTATATTTTTCCACCAGTGTTTCTTAGAGAAGAATTAGTTGTATAGATTCTATCAGGGAACATTACTTAACGTTGAGATATACTTCTATGAAAGCTAATTTCTTTGTTTTTTAAAAATTTCGGGCTGAAAATACAGGTTATATATTGATATAAATGAGAAGAAAATATCTTGTGTTAGGTTATTAGGAAATCTCCTTGTGGACTTAAGTTTTTATGAGAAGCTTTCATAACTGATGACTTTCTTATTGATTGAGCCAAAATAATATTTTAGAAAACCATTTTAAAAATAATGGCTATCCTTTCTTTTGCATTTTAGGAATGCCAGGCATGCTGATACAATTTTCACCAGTGAATATAGTAAACTCTTGGGTCAAATTGCTGTCAGAAAATACCTTGAGGCCTTTATTGGAAAACGATTTGGGTAAAGAGAATTTATTATTACTGTTATTATTAGTAGTATTATTATCAAACACATTATGATTTTTTAATCTGAGAATTATACACTCCCAGTAAGTGCCTAAATATATTGGATTATTTCTCACTCTCCTATCTTTAGGCTTAGATGTTTGTTTGTTTCTTTCTTTGTTTCTTTTTTTTGNCTCCTATCTTTAGGCTTAGATGTTTGTTTGTTTCTTTCTTTGTTTCTTTTCTTTTTTTTTTTTGTTTGTTAATCTTCACCTGAGGATATTTTTTCCCATTGATTTTTAGAGAGAGCAAAAGGGACAGAGAGAGAGAGATCATTTGGTTGCCACTGTCACGTGCCCCAACCAGGGCCAGGGATCAAACCTGCAACTCAGGTACGTGCCTTTGACCGGGAACTGAACCTGTGACCCTTCAGTGTGCAGGCCAGTGCGCCAACCACTGAACCGCACTGGCCAGAGCTTAGGTGTATTTTTCTATGTGTTTTTGTGCTAGAAAATGAGTTGGGTGCTAGAATACATTTTTATCCGGCTCCAAGAAAAATTAGAACTTTCTTGTTAAGAATCTCTGATTTTATCTCCTTCACATTTCTTAGCAATAAGGTCTCAGAGAACCAGGGACCAAGCAAACGCCATTCGGATGCAGTCTTCACCGACAACTACACCCGCCTCCGCAAACAAATGGCTGTGAAGAAATACCTGAACTCAATTCTCAATGGAAAGAGAAGGTAAAGAGACAGAAAGCCCGCTAAGACGCGGAATTGTAGATGACTTCCAGAGCAGCCGCTCCGCACTGAGCCCTGCCCAGCTCTCCCCCTCACTGTGCTCGGAGCGGGAATGCTCAGCCTCGGCTGCCAGGAGACTGCCCTGGACAACTTTAAACATACTGAACTTGGGCCCTAAACACTTTGCCAGGAAATTAGTGCCTCTAAGGTATGGATCTGGACACTGGCATTTCTCAAGGGCTTCCCAGTTGATTCTGTTGTGTCTTCAGGGTTAACAAAGACGATTAGAGAGGCATCTACTCTGAATCTGGAAGCAAGTTTTATCAAAAGGGCTGTTTTTTAACCATGTAGAGGGCAGGCAACCAGCAACTTTATATCACCTGGAGCTCCTTGTATGAGCATTTCAACTCCTTTATTTTGCCAAATTAAGCTGTGAGTTATTTTGTCTCCTGAGATTCAGTAAAACCTGATTCTGTCTGGGTGTGCAGATATTGGGGCGCAATAAATAGGAAGTGGGCGGCTCTCTCTTTTTATTCCAATTATTTTTGGTTAGATAGTGAGTATTAAGACAACCCTGGTTGGGTGAGGTCATACAAGATAACTTTCTTTGCCCACCAGATTGTAACTGTATAAGAATAATTTTAGATACTTTAAAATTGAAAAATAACTCACAGGTAAGAGCTAACCTAAAAGATAATTATTTACCCCCTCAGAGCACTTTACAGGGCAGAGAACAGCATAGGCCAACATCAGTGTTCTTTTAGATCCTGTCTCATCTAAGAGCCTAACATGCACAATTTTCTTTTTGTCTTTACAGCGCTGAGGGAGAGTCTCTTGACTTTTTTGAAGAGCTAGAAAAATGATGGAAAAGGTCTTCGAGAAAAACTGGTGGTGACTTCCCAGTGGTGGGTAAATCTGTGCATTCTTACCGTATCCTTATAGCAATCGCCCCGTCGCGTTAGTGGCTGAGAGCCGCTTGGTGAGGAATATCTTAGACGCCTCAAGTGAGGCCTCAGGTCACAACGACACTCCTACCCGAAGTGAACTGTGAACCAGAAAACAGCTTCAGATGATTCCCGTGGGGTTCTGACTGCATAAAAGGGAAGCCACCATGAGGGGACAGCTTTGAATCTCCTCGTTTGCCCAGACGTATTCCTACCCCTCTGTCCAGATATAAAACGGAGGAGACTGACTCACACTAATGAGAAAAGCTGGCTTTCCATTGAGAAGCAAGCCAGGCTGCTCTTATTAATTTAAGGATTCGTCCCAGGATTGACTGCTAGCATCTCATTTGATCTAAGTACAGGGAAATGCCACCAAATTACAGCACGGCTTGATATTGTGAAAATACAGTGTACTCTGCATCTAATTGTATTCCTTGAACCACAGCAAGCTTCATGCAGCAAAAGTCAAATTCTGCTTCTTTTACCTATAAAGTGAGTGTAGGCATTATGACTCCAACTGTGTTCACTGTAAAATACTTTTTGAGTAGAGAAACAGGAATACGATTTCTCTTTGTTAAGTAATAAGCTTCTTAACATAATTGCTTTTATATATACATAGATACAAGGCATATTTTTTCCTGAGTACATTATTGCTTACATTAGCTTATAAAACATATTTATAGTACTTGTCAAGTGTTTAAAGGAATTTTACATCATCAGTATTTGAGGTTGGAAAATTTTTTCTCTAAAGGCTATGGAGTAAGTATTTTTGATTTTGTGGTCTATATGGTTTCTGATAAAAGTATGTCTGCTATTGTAGCAGGAAATTGGCCACAGATAATGCATAAAATGAATGGGAGTAGCTATGTGACAATAAAACTTTATTTATAAGACATGAAGGTAGATTAGACTAGACTACAACCCTGAAGGGTTAAGGAGATTAAAGGAGACCCAAGCTCAGAATGAGTATAATCCATTGTCTTACCTCAGGCCTCGTTTTCATGAGTCCTCAGTGGTGGGCAGGGCGGCTGAGAAGACCCTGCACGATTGGTTACTGTGTCCACTGATCACCCTTCACTTCTGAGAGACATGCCTGGGCAGGGGTGCGGTGCATCTCTTTCACGGTCATAAATGGATATTTTAGAGAAATGAGTCCCTTTGCTCAAAAGAGAAAGCTAATCCCATGAAGCTTATGAAAAAGTGTTTCTAAGAAGAAAGCCCCCCTGTTAAATTACACAGCAGAGCAGACACTGAAACAGAGGAATCGCTCTGCCTTTCCTAAATTCTAAGTTCATTTGTGAGATTCTTTTCTTTTTTGAATGGGTAGCTTTGGACAAATTGTTTTAATAGAAAATTTGTGGCTCAACAATTTGTGAAAATTGCAAATGGGTAATTATTAATGACCGACCAGAGAGCCCCTTCACAGCCCGGTGCCCTTTCTGACTGCCAGTCCTTTGGAAGGTACCCTCCTGATATCCCACAGCATGATCTCCTGTCACAGGCTCTTGACAGGAGGCAAAGAGAAAAGATGTTTTTCAAATGAGTGGATAAGTGAAAGAAATTAAGATGATGTGAATGAAAATATTTTTATGCTTATACACCAATTCTTTCTTTTTCAGATTCTTGAAGAAAAATGATAGGTGAAGTAATTATATTTTGAGTTCTACATAAGTCATTCAAAAAAAATCTTCAGTATCAAAACCAAATAAAATACTGTATTGTGAATGTTGCAATTTATTTTAAGCTAATGTAATAACTGCTCTTTACTGTGTTGCAAATATTATTTGAGAGTTCTTAAATTTGTCTTTAACTTGTGAAAATCCTGTAATTTCATGTGCTGTGTATTCTTTCTAAAAAAATATATTTACTGATAAGAAAATACAAGACTAATTCCAATTGTATGAGGCTTTTTGGAAGGGTAGAAATAGAGCAAAATTGATGTGTTTATTTATAGAGCTTCCTTAACTATTCAGAAGAGTGGAACAGATAATCAGTGTGTCCAAATTTGAATGTTAAGCAGATAGAATGCTGTGTTGAATAAACCTCAAAATGTCTAAGAAAATACTAACCAAGATAAAGTCATTCTTCAAAAAAAATTGTTTAAAAATGTAATGCATTTTCAAATTTATAAGCAACCTTTATTTTGAACTGGATTAAAATCTCACAAATTTGGATCTCTAAATGCCAAAGGCTCTCTCCTGATTTATTGATTCAATGAAGGAGAATGCCTCTGCTTCCTACATTGGGCCTGGCCTTTATTCTTGTGAAAAGTATGTGTAGAATGTAAACTGAGGGGAACATTTGTTTTTTAGTGCTAATATTTTTTTTTCCATAATCATTCAAAGAATGCTTTGGTGATACCAGCTTCTATCAGTGAAAGTGCATTTGGAGACACAACTATTTTTCCAAAATGACTGTAAGAAATTAAACATAAAAAATAAAGATATTTAATTATCATTGCAAACAATTTCTGTTGTTTTGAGTCTTTAAATGATACAATAACAGCTCATCCTAGTGCTAAAGTTCCAGACACTAGATAGTTTTGTAATGCTAGAGATAGAACTATGTTTGGTTTTGTGTGAGATATGAAAGAGAAAAGTCCAGACTGTTTCCAAAGGAAATCACCTGAGCAACTTGAAGGATGGTGTTGCTATTAACTAAGATGAAAAGAGGGGAGAAAAAAGGTTCCAGAGCAAGATGGGACCTTTGTACATCTGTACATTTTAAAGCTGCTGTTGAATAGAGTTGAAGATATATGTGAGGATTTATGAGCCAATGCTGGACTGAATGTAAACAGTTGGTAGACTTCAGTATATAAATGAGATTTAAAGGCACAAGTCATGAGATCACCAAGGAACCTAATGTAACTATAAAAGGATCTCAACACCTGATCTCTGGGTGTGTTCATTTACTCAGGCTGCCATGACAACATGTTACAGACTTGGGGCTTAAACAACAGAAATGAATTGTCTCGGAGTCCTGGAGGTAGAAGTCTGAGATCAGGGTGTGTGCAGGGTTGGCTCCTTCTGAGGACTGTGGGGAAGAAGCTGATCTCTGATTTCTGGTAGTTTCCTGGCCATGTTTGGCTTGTAGAAGAATCACCTCCATTTCTGTGTTGACCTTCACATGGTGTTGTCTCTGTTTATGTATGTGTGCACATGTGTGTGTGTCTGTATGTTTCCAAAATTCCTTTTTAGAAGGACACTAGCTGTATTGGATTAAGGCCCATGCTAATAATCTTGTTTTAACTTTATTACCTTTGTAAGACCCTATAAATAAGGCCACATTTTGAGACACTAGAGGTTAGAACTACAACATATGAATTGGGTGGGGGGTGGTGGTTAAGGCACCCTAACACTAATAGCCTTTGATGTTGAGGAACAAATGGGGTATAAAGAAGTGAAAATAGATGCCAACAAAATAGGAGAAAAATAGGAAAGTGTGTAGTTCTTTCAAGGAAGAAGGCATCTTTAACATGTTTATAAGCTGCTGCTATGTAAAACAATGTTTACTTATTGGTTTCGTAAACTAGCATTCATTAGGAACCTGCTATGTGCTCAATACTGTTCTAGGTTCTGATTATATAACAATGAAGAAAACAGACAGATATTCCTATCCCCATGGATCTTACATACCACTGAGGGAAACAGATGATAAACACAATAGTTAAGGAAGATACATGCTGTGTTAGAAAGTGGTAAGTGCTAAGAAGAAAAATTAACTCAGGGAAAGAGGATATTAACTGTTCAGATGAACGTTTGAAATTTTAGATGAGGTTCTTAGAAAAGACCTCACAGGAAGGTGAGTCTGAGGAAAGCCCTGAAAGAAATCAGCCGTGAGTCTCTATGTAAACATCATTTTAAGACAGAATAAATTTAGATGCAGAAGCCCTTAGTTTGAGATTTACCTCTTATTTTGAGGAGCAGAGAAGAGGCCAATTTGGCTGAAGTGCAAAGAATGATTAAGAAGTAGTATGAGAGAGAAAGTCAGAGAGGTTATGAAGAAGCAGTCCACACAGATCGTCATAGGTCCCATCTGCCTGGCTCTCCTCAGTACTCAAATTCTCCTTGTCTCTCAGCTTTCCAAAGTCTAGCCCTGAGGCCCAGCCGCTGCTGATACTTCTTGCAGTATCCTACTGACCCTTTCCCAGAGCTGCCTTATGCTTTTCCTCACCTTGTCTGTGAAAAATGACCTTTGCCCCTGTAGACCCTGAAAAAGAAGATACCTCCCAAGAAGGGCTCCTGGTGGCTCAAGTTAAAACAACAACTACAACAAACAATACACAAAAAGACACACTCTAGCAGCCATTTCTACACAGGGGACTGTCACACAAAATGCACTTCAGGGTCAAGCCTGCAGTGAACTACCTGCCTCTGCACTGAACTGCCTGCCTGCACTGTGTTCCAGCCATCAGAGCCAGACCTTACAAAGGAGTTCTTGGAGTCCTATATCCATGTGCAATTGGAGTGGTGCAGCTATAGCACCATCACCATCTTCACTGACCAATCAGAGTGGCTCCATTCTAAACAGTCAAGACAGTGCCTTTTGGGCCGATCAAACTGTTTTTGGAGTTTTCATGTGCATGAGGATGGACTCATCAGGAACCAGAAGTGGGGATTTCTGGCCAGATAAGCCAGCTCCCCTCTTGCTGAGGGAGCACATTTTCCATTTCCACCAGAGACTGAAGGTTGCACTTCCCAGGCTAAAGCTGAAATATGGAAGATGAAGCACAGAAGATGTCTTTCAGGGACAGTTCTGAGCAGAGCAGCGCTGTCTAGAGAGGGGCCTGGCCTCAAGGCCTTGCTGCTTTCACAGCCCTGCTGGATCATGTCCTTCTTCACTGCACCTCAAAATGTGGATTCTTTTTGGAATTGAATTGGCACCAAAGACCACGTGTTGAAACCTCCTGTTTCCCTTCTGTATCCCAGCTTTCTCTTTGGAACCTGATTTCTGTTTGGAATTGGACAGAATTTTCCAAGGGTCAGAAAGACTGTATTCGTGATGGTAGCATTCTGAGCAGACCAAGCTATTTCCTTCCCACGTGATCATCTCAGTTCCCAGTCGTCTCTCCCTCCAATTTGTCCTTTCTTTGCTCCCTGAATGTTCTTTGCAATTGTAACTTAATGCTTTACTGTGAGTTATGTAAAGCATAAATTTCTGGTGAGGGGAGGAGGTTGCTATGAAAAAGCACACTATTTAACAGATCAGCTTATTGTACCTAAAACAAGGCAAATAGTTTTTTTTAGCAATAATTTCTAAAATGACAATCTCTAAAGAAGTTGCCTCTTGATTCACAAGTGACTTGAATTTAAAAAATCTTGGTTTAATGTACTAGACAGCATTCCTCTCAGTACTTTGCTCATTGAGTAAGTACTTTCTGTGGCTTTGACACTTCTGACTAACTCAGGAAAAAAGAAACTCTTATTTTTAATTTGGCTTACATTTGTAAATTAATATCTCAGGTACAATTACCAACACAATCTCTCATAATTTTATTTTAAGTCACCTGTAGTACAATAGTTATTAGCAAAAAAAACCCTTATTTTTGGTTTACCCTGTAAAAAATATATATTACTATGAATACTATCTTAATGTTAAACTAACATACACCATGCACAGCTTCTGGGTTTCAGATACAGAATCCATTCTTCAGGCTATCTCGAAGACAGAAAAGAGGACTTCTCGAATAATGTCTATGAGTAACTGAGAACCCTTGGAGATGTACATTTTATTAGATTGAGATTTTAGGAAAATACACTTCAATTTTTTATTTGCCTATGCTTGTGCGGTGCTCCAAACTCTCTGGTTAGCTGGCAGCAGCCGCCCTTGTCTGAAAGGAGAGGGGAGAAGACGCATTCAGAGCATCTGCCTCTTCACAATCCTCTGTCGACAGCTCTCTCCCCGACTATGGGGAGAAAGCATTCACTTGGCCCTTCTCTTTGCCTCACGTAATTGCAAGTCCCCTGAAAGATGCATCTCCTTTCACACTTTAACTTTTCTCATTTTCCCCACACAATTGTCCTCTTTCTGTTTCTCTTCCTTGGAAACTCGCCCTGGTTTCAGAAGTTTGCTTTTCTCTCTGGCTCTTCTGTTCTCTGCAGAGCTGTGGCTTCATGCCCTTGGGCCTCTGGCTCTGCTGCTTGTCTTACCCACATGTTGACCTCATTTGTTCCAGCGACAGAATATTCATATAGATCTCCCAAGAGTTCCTTTTGTCTCTTAGGNTGCTGCTTGTCTTACCCACATGTTGACCTCATTTGTTCCAGCGACAGAATATTCATACAGATGTCCCAAGAGTTCCTTTTGTCTCTTAGATTTTCTTTCCATAAGGCTTTAGACACACAGGTGATGCTTGCTAAGTAGTATTTTCTAATTTACATTTTATTTATCTTTTGGTTAAAATGCTTAGACTCTTTGAGCTAGAAATTGCCTTTGCATGTAAGGTTTAACATACTACCAGGAAATAACTATATCATTGTTCTTAGTTTTTACTCCAAAGACATTTTCTCCTAACCTTGATACAGATAATCTGTATAACACACATAAAGAAACTTTAGCCATAGCCTTGTTGACTTGGATCTATCTCATTTATCCTTAATGAGATAAAGGTTTAGAGCAGCAAGCATATGTCAAAAAAGAGAATATATTATAAAAGAGAAAGCCTGAAACTGAGTACAGGTAGTAATGAAACAGAACTGAGAAAAGGTCCATCTAAAGTTCTCAGCTCTTGTTCAGTAGCTGATTAGAGGGCTGTTAGCCTGAAAATATACCTGCAAAGTAGAAGAAAAATGGTAAATAAAAGGTGATAGCAAATTTGGGTTCCATGTAGGGGCTATTATAGTAATGTTATTGTAAAACATTAAGAAGAAACTACATAATTATTTAAAAAATAAAATATAAGTAGTATTTTATTTACCAATTTGGATGTTATTTACCAAATTTTGGGACATAACTGCTAAGTTGTTTATAACCAGAAAAATGTTTGGAAACTATATAATGATATGAGTAGTTTGTGTTAAAATAATATTACATGGATTATATTAATTCAGTGAATTGTGGGTGAGAAGGCAAATTTGAGTTTTTGCCTAAGTTCAACGTTTTGGGGGAAGCAAGGCCTATGTATCAGTAATTAAAAAGGTATTGGAACAAACGATACAGCAGAAATAGCATATTTGTTCTATGTTCCATGGATCTCAGTAGAGTATTAATGGCAGAGGCTAAACAGGAGAGATCTTTTCTCAATGCATAATGTCCAAGTGATCAAATCTTTCCGCACGTTAGCTGAATAAATGAGAAAATTAGACTCCTTACTCACTGTGTGCTTATCATGAGCAAAATTACTAAATGCTGCCTCTTCCTTACCGTCCCCACTGTGAGCTGGAAAACATGACTCTAAAAGGACTGGTGACCAGCAAGGGACATGCACGTGTTCTTCAGCTTCCCCAGTGCTGGGAAAGTGCTAGGCCACGGGATGGAATGGCTTTGGAGTGTCAAAGTGAAGCATTAGGGACCTCTCTTTGCTTTTGATGTCACTAT